CACAGGCAAACATGGCAATGCTGAGGCTCATCTTCCTCAGGGGGGCAAAAAGAGAAAGAAACGTGGGCGGCTGGACGGCTCTCAGAGGGCCAGTTTGGCGCTGGAGGACAGTGCTGTCCAGCCACGGGCTCTGCCCTGCGTTCACGAGAACGTACTGCGACCGCCCCACTCGTCTCCTGGGCACCATCTCCTCGTAGCGAATTCTTTCTGGGATCGTGTCCGGCCTGCTCGATGGGGTCGCTCTTGACGCCTGCGGTTCCCACAGGTCCTCTGTTCTCTGAGGCCCTGTGCCCTGCCCTGTCTTCGCATTTGGATTGTGCCTGGCATTCCGGCCCCTCCTCCTCCTTCCGTCGTTGAGTTGAGCACGCAGCACATGGTGTTCAGGGACTGTGTGATGACTAGCTAACATTAAAACACTCTTAAATTATTATTCTCATGTTGGCTACCTGCTTACTTTTTTTTTTTTAATTTGGCACAAAGCCATCACTAAACACTTTAGTTCTTCACTGGGTTCACGAGCTGAGCACAGATTCAGACTTTTGGCCAAGACTGGCCCGCGTGTCCCAGGCAGGAGCCCAGACCTTCAGCACGTCAGGCACGTCCTCACGTGTCCACCTCAGGCCGGTGCGGCGGAGGGAACCGCAGGTTTCACGTGATGTCCACACAGCCTGCCGTCGGAAAAACTGCTCTCCCTCACTTCGAGTGAGCGAATCTTAACTCTTACCAAGGGACCATGGTTTACTTGCTCAGTAGATGAAAAGGCAAAGCGCACTGTCAAGATGAATGCTTTGCTGTAAAAATTGAAATGGTAAGTAGGAGTTCAAGGTAGTTGACCTACTTAAACTTCACATACAAAAATGATTACGGTTTCTGGTAACCCAGAAGCCAGGCCTGATTTCTTGGTTTTGCATCTCGGGGAAGTTCCAGGCCCCTGAGGGAGGGCGGACCGGGGAGGCCGGAGTTCGAGGGTCCGACTCCGAGCTGACCTGCCCAGCGCGGAGGGGCTCCCACGTCCCTTTCTCGCACATCTCTGGTGCGGACAGTTGGGAACTGACGTGACTACAACGTTAGCTACAAGCTAAAGAGACATAAACATTTTAGGGTTTTCAGGGTTGACAATATTACATTTGCGAACAAAATACAAGGTCAAGTTACAATAAAGTATACATACAAATACAAAAGTGAAAGTTCCTAGTAGACAGAACATGTGAACGACATTTCTGAGAATAAAAATGACTTTTTCTTATGTGCATATATTTTCTTAGATATGTAAATTAGCCTCTTAAGAGAGGCTAAAGGAGACTTCGGAATTAAACAAGAAAATACCTATATAAAATAAACCACAATCATCCCTTCTTGAAAACAAAATCCACAGTTCTAAAGGGTATAATTGAAGCATATTTGCGGGTACTAAGTGTTTGGTCTTAACAGGAAATAAATCACTTTGAAGTAGGCACAGAAGAGTTTCACATGACACCGACAAGGTATTTACTCTACAAATCGCACCACCGGACAAATGCAGCTGCAGGCAATAGTCTGAATAAGCCACACGCCAGCCAGAGCACCTCACACACTCCTCATGGTTCACTTTCACTAGCTTATATACACTGAGTAAGTCATTAAATATTGCACATATTGGCCCATGAACCCTCAATTCTGAGGTGTTGAAAATAGAAAAATCGATTTTTATAACGTATTTCATGCAACATTTAAGACGTTTCAGTTCCACAAACACCATTAAACAGTTGTACACTGGAACAGCCCAATGGCACCACATCACGTCTGACGTCAACAACATATTAACAGGAGCTACAAACGACGCTCGTCCCGCTCACGTCCTCGGGGTGACGCACCAATGCGTGAAGCCCCTCCCACCGACGCAGCAGCCCCAGACCTCACCCGGTTCCCAACACGCCTGGGACCACCCGGCAGATGCGGCCACGCTCGCGTCCCTGGAAGGCCGGGCGTCTGCGCGGCTCGTGTGCCGTCTGCGTCATCGAGAAGGGCGTCCGTGAACTGAAGCCACCTCTGGCCGCCAAAAACAGGAGTGTGGAAGTATTTTCATTTAGCAATAAAGTCACAGCAACTCTCAATTGTCCAGGCGGAAGGAAAGTGTGAACACAGGTGATACACAGGTAAGGCCCCACCTCCTTCCCGCAGGTGACGGCTGGTCGCTACTCCACCGGAATTAGAGTCCGTAGGAGGTACGTGGAGAAACTCGAGCACCCCTTCCTGTTCTCAGGTCTGTCGCTCTGTGAGGGGAGTGCTCTGAAACACTGAGCGATTAAAAACGCAGGGAGCAGAGAAGAGAGTGGCAACTAGAAAGTCTAGTTTGTTCACCAGGTGGATGGATGGTCTGGTCTGAACACTCGAGCTCTGGCAAAGGTTCTTTTATCTAGATTCTTTTGAAAAACGTGTTTTCACGCTACTCTCTTTTTAGTGGGAATTAATTATGATTGCAGACACACAGATCAGTGTGAAGAATCTATCTCACAGAACTTTTTAAACAAACACGAGTTACGGCCGGAACAGAGCTCACGCGCCCGCTCCCCAGCGCTGGTGACGCGTGTCACGGGCACTCCTATCACACAGAGGCTCACGTGTGGGAGTGGCCTGCGCTGGGAGAGGCGACGCTGTCTGTGACCCACAGGTGAGTATTTTAACCTACCAAAGGGAAATGCTATTTGACTGGAGTGTCGAGAATTTCTGTAAAGGTTTTTGAGAAAAACTGCATTTATCTATGCCGTATCAGTAAGACATAGTTGATATATGTTAGTTAAACTCCCCGATCTGTCTTGGCCCCCTTAGGGGAAACTGAATTTCTGGAATCTGGAGCCCTTTAAGTGTGCTACAGGGATAAAGGTGCTTCTTTTCTTTCTGATCATAAACTTTATCTTTTGCCCAATTCATTTCATATTCATTCCAGAACATAAAAGAGGTTTATGTCTGTAACTGACTTTGGTCAAAATTTGCCTAAAATATAAAAGACTTTAGAAAGCTGGTCCTAGTTGTTCAGCTCATTAACAAGACTCCCCCCTTTGCTGGTAAACTGTCAAGTACAAACAGACAGACGCACACAGGCAGAGCTGTGGAGGCTACCTCTTAGGAGGCCACACGGTCTGGCTGCCCATGGGCCCTGACCTTGCACGCCAAGGACACACACAGGGAACACAGAGCCCCAGGTACCAGCCATGCACACGCCAGTGCAGGGAGAGAGACAAGTCACCTTCCAATATGTCGCAGCCAAAGTAGATGACTGAGCATCACGACACTCTGTGAAGATTGTTAACAGAAACTTCTTGGTCTAGGAAGGTTTTAATCATTACTATAAAATAGGAGTCCTCTGGTTTTCACATTCAGCAACTACCTCAGGCCCGAGAGGGCGGGGCAGAGTCTGGAAACCGTTTTAAATAGCCCCACGGAAGCCACGGTGGGCTGACAGGGGGGTGGCAGTCAGACACATGTGGGACAGCGTGTCCACAGGAGCCATGGGTCGCTGGCTGGGTTGCTCCACCACCAACGCTGCTTTGTGGACATGTAGCTACAGTGGGTGGAGCTACACTGTGCACCTGAAAGTCTGTTCTCAGCATAGGTGCAGTGACAACTGGAGTTTGAACTGGTTCCTGAAACAGAGCAGCCGTGCTGAACACAGAGATGGAACATACACGATCCATCTGGACAAGAGTTAGGTCGCTGAGATCTGTGTTTGCTGAGTACATAGCTGTCTTGTACAACCTGGGCCGTAATTCTGCAGAACTGGCACTGCACACCCACGGTCACAGGGCTCACCTTTCTGCTGCGACTGAAGCGTGGTCGCCCTTCCCTGGCCAAACGCAGAGCTTAGCTCTTAGTTTCCAGGCACCGAGGGGACATGGGCTGAAGGGAAGCTAAGCAGGGAAACTTAGGACCTTTAGAAGCTCCTCAAGGCCACAGAAGCTTTTCGGGGGTGGCAGCAGCAATACACTAGCTCACTGTCCCGCAGCAGTTCCGCTCAGGAGCCCTGGGGGGGATGCCAGCTGGCGAACATGCCCTTTCAGGAGGCAAGAAGCCACACACCTGCCAGCACATCCGTTCACATCCGAAAGGCTGGACTGCAGCTCCACTCCGTGGACGACTATTTGAAAAAACCACTTTCAGTCCAATTTGTCAATTACATTAGAAACAAAAGAAATGTGGGAAAACCAAAGTTCTTGGAAGTATTTACTCAAAAACAATCGAGGTTTATTCTTGAAAGTAATTGGGGGGCCAGTGAGGTGATGGGGGGCAAGAGAAAGAGAACTTCACTTGAAACACTAACTGAATTGCATCAGCGACAAAAGATGGATGTCTAATTTTGCAAACTAACAAGCAGATATTTTCCAGATGTCTTGAGCTTTTGGACACACATCCAGTTAGGCCATCAGTACAAAGGAGCTGTGGGCGGGCGGAGAGGACACAGGTGTCGTGTGCGCACACTTGGTGTGCGTGTGGGCGTGCCCACATTGGCCCAGAGGCTGAAAAAACCCTTGGAACTACTGTGCGGTAATTTATAACTAATGTAACTTGATGCCAGTAAATACAAGCTTACTTGGTTTACCCTGGGCTGGCTCCTCTTTTGCCAAATGTGATTTTAAGCAGGACCTCTTGACGACATGGGGAGCAGAGGACACTCCCTCTCTCCACATGCTTTGCAGGAAGACCCCAGGTGCGCACGCGCTCCAGCACGCGGCATCCTCTCTGGAAGCGTGTCGCCGAGGACACTCACACCGGGACGGGCGCGTTCAAGCTGACAGCCAGCTAGGACGGCTGGTTTCTGCTGAGGTTTGGGAAGTGGGGTTTACCAAGTGTTCCTCGGGGAGGACCTCAGGCAGTCTGTTGTCTGGTCGCCCTCCCCGGCCTGGCTGGGTCAGCGCGGGTCCTGGGCACATGCCTTCGCTCCTCTGGCCCTGGGCCGGCTGGTTCCGTAGCTGTCAGCTCATGGGGGCGGGGGGGAAGGGTTCCGAGAGGCGGGAGCTCCACCCTCTCCTCCACCTTCCTGACCTCTCTCGCTGTGCTCTCCACGCCACAGCACTGCCCGTCCTCCCTGACCGCGGACTGTGAGTGGCAGAGGCTTCCCGGAGTCCCTGCGGTGAGTCCAAGTGCCAGCGCAGCCGAATCAGCACCACGGCCGCGGCCCAGCCCAGGGCTTAGAGATGTTACTGCACCACGAACGTGCCTGGGTGCCCCTCCCCCTCTCTTTCCTCCACGTCTAATTTCTGTGACTTTTGAAGCTGGTTGCCCATTAAAATCGAATACAGCATTAATGTTTTCTTGTCTTCATTAAGGTAAGGCCTGCCTTGGAGGTTGCTGAAGTAAAAACTTATTACCAATTAGTGTATATCTTACGCTGAAAGTGGGAGAAAGCACAGGCCATGCTTAGAACATCCAAAAGGCTCTTTCCTGCTTCATCGGACGATTCACTAACTCTGCACATGACCACTTCCCTGACTTGCAGGCAATTGCCCCCCCAATCTCCTTCCACACACGTTTCCTGCCCACATCCTTGTTCAATAAACTCACACCAATACTCACTTTCATGGGAAGAGTCTATTTTTGAAAAGCTGAGAAACATCCTTAACGCGAGCACCAAAAAGGGGGTAAGTCCACCTAATGTGACAGCCCTTCTAATTTGCCGGCCGCCTTCCCACGGCCCTCTGTCCCCAGCGCTGGGTGGCGACAGCCGGCAAGCTTCCTCCGGCGCCATCAGGAGGCCACGAGGAGTCCCCCGCCTCTCGCACGGGGGCTTTGGGGAGTCTGAGCAAAGGCTCCGGTGTTGGCACGGTTCGTCTCCTCCCTCTGCTCAGGTTGTCTGTGGAGTCCTGCGCCAGGGCACTGGCTGGGCTCCGGAGTCTCTGAGTCACTGGAGCACGTCCCAAAGCTCGCACACGGGGACCTGAGACAGAGCTAGGAGGGACAGCGGAACTGGAAAAGATATGTGAGGAAATGGGCTTCTTCACAACTTGGGAGCCATTGAGACACTGTTCAAATAGCCTGCATTCAAGTGAAAGCTTGGCCAGGTGCAGGCCAAAGGCAGCCGGCTGGAAGCCAGCCTGTGAGCTGTGGCCGAAGGGCTCGGACCAGCTCCTGCTCCCCTCCACCCTGAGACATCCCGAAGGTCACGGTGCTGGGGCGTGCTATGGGGGGACTAGTGCGCGTTATGGGGGCTAGCTAGTAAAGCGATGGGGGAGCCTCGTGTGCCGGCATTCCACGGCTGCTCGCGCCGAGTAGCTCTAAACTCTTGCCGCAGAGCATGGAGCGGCTGGAGGCCTCAGAGGAGCGGAAGGCCGGCCTCCTCTGTGGAAGGAGCAGCCCTCCAGGGTGCTCCTGTCTCAGCATCTCCACTGAGCTTACTGTTCACACCTGGTTCGGGGCAGGCAGATGGACTCTCTTAGGAGACTTGAAAGAACCTTAAACACAGCATTTTAGTCTTTTTATAGTCAAGGACCTCCGCCATTGTTACTGACACTGAGAAACAGACCCATTTCCTACACAGTACACCAGCTAGAAAGCTGGCAATTACTCAGAAAACATGAGTAATATGTCTGCTTGCTTTTCAACTCAGAGTAAAGCACATTAGATCCCCTGAGATCTCCCCTGCTCCCCTCCCAGCCGCCGCGGTTCCTCTGTTGTCATGCGGCCAGCGGCCAGCGGCCAGTGGCGGCCGAGCCCTCCGCACTGAAGTCGGAGGCGTGGACTTACTACATCTGAGGCCCCCGCAGTAGCTGATCTGTGGAGGAATCTGAAACATAAAGACCCTAGAAGACGAATGACAAACCACATGCAAGTTTACCAGGGGTTTGTGGAAGGAGAGTCTAGGAATTCGAGGTCACGTGTCCGCCACCCGTCTGCACCGGGGGTCTCCCAGGAACTCCGCCCGCGTCCAAGCCGGGCATCAACGATTCCCGCGAAGGGCCCCCGGGCCGCTCCGCGGCGGCCGACTCCACCCGCCCCGAGCGCCGCCGCCCGCGCAGCCGCCGCGCGCGCAGCGCTAGCAGCCGCAGCCGGGCTGCGGGGGCGGCGGGCTCTCCTGGAGCCTGGCACCCCCGGGCCTGGCGGCGGCGGCGGCGGCCGGGTCGGCCTCCAGGCTCTCGGACATCCTGTCGCAGATGACGTCCACCAGGCGCTCGAAGGTCTGCTTCACGTTGACGTTGTCCTTGGCGCTCGTCTCGAAGAACTCGAACCCTGGAGGAGACACGCGAGCGCAGGCCGGTCATCTCGTGCGTCCGCTGAAACGGGAGGGACTCGGGACTCGAGCGCGGGCCGGCGGGCACGGCGGGCGTGGGGCGGGCAGCGGGGACAGCGGGGTCGCGTCCGCGCGCGCGTGGACTCAGATGGTCCGCGCGCTGCCTCCCCCTTCGATCCACTCCCCGCCCCCCCCCCCCCCCCCGTTGCCAAGCATCCTCTTGGGATCTTTTCTAGAACTGGTGTTACCTGGCATTTTTTTCTTTCCTCGTTTTGAAATCTACCAAAGTGATTAATTCTCTTTTTGTTTTTCATTGACCTCAGATTTCCTGCCTCCGCAGATCCTGCCACACGGGGAGCCACGGAGGCCGAGGTGATCCCCCCCTCTCTCCCTGTCGCCCCGAGGAGCTGGGGCGTGGCTTTGGTGGCCGCCAGGGGGCGCTGTGCGTCCCTGGAGTTCCCGTAATCGTGCAAAACCCTCCCGTAGAAACGTCTGAGCGGCCTCCGCCCGACAGCCTCCAGGGCTCTGTGCGGCCTTGCATGCTGGGGGTCACCTCTCCACACCTGCCGTCTCTCAGCAGCAATGTCTTTACCAACAGCTGGGAAAGGGCACTTGGATAAATTTCGGTTGAGCTGCCAGGATCCCAAGAAGGTATTTAAAAAGTGCAGTGACAGTCTCACTTGTGCTGGTGCGTCCCCGCACCTGGGCAGAGGCAGCTTGCTCCCTCTCCCCCCATTGTCTGCACTCTGCTCCCACGTGTTTGCGCTCGGGTCTGGGGCTGGGCTAGCCAGTCCGTTGCCATGACAACCTTCCCAGCACACCAGCCAGAGACTGCTCTGGTCCTTTCAGGGGACATTGATTTAGGATGTATTGGGCTGAACACAGAAACACTTTCCTGACCCATTCTGAATTCTACACCCTATAAACCCTCTGGGTACACCTGGCCCTATCTCAGAGCAGCCACAGGTATCTGGAAAGGTTAAATCCTGTGACTTCATCCCAGCTCCTGGGGCCAAAGGACAAGAAATGGACTGACGGTTTGTGTCTGTGTCAACCCAGAAATATTTATTCTCTTACGTAGTACTGAAGGGCAGACAGCAAAAAGCAATTCTCTTGAGTTACACTCTCTAATTCAGTGATGCTACTGTATATTTAGTTAGACGGCTTATCTGCCCTTGACTCTCACTGGCCACTATGTATTCTGCCATTAAAACCTAAGCAATAACTGCGGGGTTTGAGCTGAAGGCCCATAAACAGAGCCAGGGCCTGTGAGATCATGGTGGATGTTTCAGACCCTCTGTGGCTTGCATCTGCCTTTCCTTTTTCCCTGGGTGGTGCTTCTAGCTCTCTCCTACACGCTGCATTTCTTCACAGAAAAGGCATTGGACACTAACAGAATTCTCTTTTCTGGGGTTTGTGCAGCCTGGAGGGCTGGACCATTCATTGTCCAGATTCGGATTGGGGAGGGCAAGCATGGATCTCAGAAATACCCTTATTGCTCTGATGCCAGAACTGTCTGCATCTTTGTGGGGTTCTTCCAGGGCCAAGGAGAGTGTGCTTTATGTCACCAGATGCCAAGACCCCACTCAAGAGGTCAAAATCCCTGGCTGACACTTTGGAGGAAAAAAATCTCACAATTTGGCACAAAGGTTTCAGCCACAGCTTCCATTCTCATCCCCTCTACTAGCCCCTCCTCTACCGGTCGGCACGGCCCGGGGGGGGGGTACCGAGCTGGGGGACGACCGGGTGACCCACACCAGCGTGTCCCCTTTGACCTGGGCTTGAGAAGCCCCTGATGCTGATGTGCAATCGAGGTCAGTAAGGTGAGCCTCGACCCCGGCAGCCAGCGCCACAGGGCCGCTGCCTCATTTCACCTGGAGCCCAGGAGGATGTGGCTCCTGGGGAGCACCCAGGAAGAGAAGCCCTACTACACCAGCTCTCCATTTACCCGCCACAGGGGGAGGTACCGCCACACCGTGAGAGGAATGGGCTGTCAGCCGGGAGCCGAGGGATGTAGCCACTCCAGCGATACGTACTCGCTTGGAGGCCAAGGGCAGCCCACGAGCGTATTCTCGCGTCCCTTACTTACGACATTTGTCTCGCTTGGCTCCCAGGGCTCTCGCGAGGCTCCAATGGGAAAGTGCATGTAGGAGTGCCAAGCAAACCAGAAACGCCATGGAGACAACAGTGATGACGATAATTAGCACCTGGGGGGATGCTCTACAACAGGTGCTGTTCAGAACACTCCACACACCTAAGCCGTTTCGCCATGAGGCAGCTGCCAGAATCTTCTCCATCCTGCCGAGCAGAAATGGGGGCACAGACCCTCGGGGCATTTCGCTCAAGAGCTTTCTTGCTCAGCCGGCCCTGGCGTCTGGACTGCTGACCTGGGCAGTCCAACAGCCCTGCAGACGCCCGACTGCACCACCCTCCGGTCCCAGCAGAACCAGAAGTTTGATGTTGATCAATAATCATAATATATACTATAAGCTGTCAACAATTTAAATAATTACAAAACAATTAACTAGATTTAACGCCATCAGTGAACAAATGAAACATCGTATCTCAATGATTCCAAAGGCGCCCTGGTGGCTTGTGCCGTTTAAGCTCCGTCCATGGGGCCGTCGGGCTGCTGGACCTCGGCGGACTGATTCACACACAACTGACAGTTGAGTCCCAAGCATTAGGGGCGCTGACCCCCCTGCACTTGAAAACCTGTGTTTTTACCTCCTCCTCAAATGTCACTGTGGTTGTTCCCAAGTAGCCACAGGGACTGCCTCCAGGAACACTGGCAGTTACCAAAACACACGGATGCTGAAGCCCTCCCATGACACGGTGCACAGAACAGTGCCTGTGCTGGGCCCTCGGCTGCCGCAGGTCTCAACTGGGCTTGAAGTGACTGCTTTCAGCCCACAGCTGGTGATCCTGGGTGGGGCCGGGGAGGTGGGCTGGCTGTATGACCCATTGACAGCCTCCTGTGCTTGCGTGAGTGGGACTACACAGCTCCAGCCCAGGGTGTTCAAGGCCGACTGCAAAAGGTTCTGGAAAGTAGGCCTCCTCTCATTGGCCAGATGCTGTTTGTCATACAATGGGATATCTGGGATGAAAAACGGCGTCCTTACAATTTTAGCATGTTGTTGTTTGGATCCAGGGAAGTGTGGGTTTCCTGTGCAATGACCGACTGTCCACCCAAATGAAATCCACGCCTTCATCCAGCCGCCCCACACCTGTGTGCGCCCGTGGCTGTCCGAGGCCCCCGGGCTGAACCAGAAGCACAAGTCCAAACGCGTCGGCCCTCCTTCCTCCCAGTCAGCGCTGGGCTTCCTGGCTGTTACCTCCCAGCGTCTCTGTGTGTCCACTGCACTCCAGCAGACAGCCTTGTTCTCAGAAACCTTAGCCTCGCACCCACACGCCCAAACACCAGCCGGAAGCCAGCACTTTGGTCAGCGATGTGCCCATTCCAGTGTGAGTCATCGAGAATCACAAAAACAGAGGCAAACATGACACCACCCGAGAAAACTAATAAGATTCTAATAGCTGACCCTGGAGAAATGGAGATCTGTGAACTCACAAGAATTCAGAAGAGTTCTCATAAAGAAGTTTAGTAAACTACATGAACACACAAACAACTAAACAAAATCAGAATAACAATTCAAGAACAAAAAAAAAATGTTCAACAAAGAAATATAAACCCTCACTCTGCCCCCAGAAATCCTAGAGCTGAAATATATGACTGAACCAAGAATTCAAAAGAAAGCTTCAAAATCAAATTTAACCATGCAAAAAAAAATTACTGGTCTAGAAGACAGAACATTTGAAATTATCCAGTCAGAGGAGTAAAAGAAAAAAAACAACGAAAAAAGTGAAGAAAATCTATGAGACTAATAGGACACAATAAAAAGAATCAATAGCTGTACTATGGAAATTCCAGAAGGATAGGAGAAAGAGATAAAAACAGAATGTATATTTAAAGTAATAATGCCTAAGAATTTTCTAGACTTAAGGAGAAAAATGGACATGCAGATCCATGAGGCCCAAGGAACCCCAAACAGGTTGAAACCAAATAGGGCTACACTGAGATACATTACAATTAAGTTGTCAAATGTCAAGGAGAATCCTGAAAGGAGCAAGAAAAAAGAGAGAAGTTACATAGAAGGGAATACCCCATAAAGCTATCCATGCCAAAGAACAATGGGATGATATATTCAAAATATTGAAAGAAGAAAAATATCTGCCAATCAAGAATTCTATACCCAGCAAAACTGTCCAGAAGTGAAGACTACTTTCCCAAACAAACAAAAGCTGTGGGCCTGTCTTACAGGAAATGCTAAAAGAAGCCTTTGTTTAGAACTAAAGCAATGCTAATTAATATTATAAAAACATGAGAAGGAAGTGTAAAACTCACTGGTAATTGTAAATATATAGTCAAAGTTAGATTCTGTAACATGGTGATGGTGGTGCATAATTCACTTACAACTGTAGTTTAAAAGTTAACAAGCAAACATAGTGAAAAGAACCATAACTACAATAACCTGGTATTATCTACATAATATAAAAATATGTAAACTGTAACATCAATAACCTAAACTGTGAGTGAGAATGGAAGTAAAGTGTTAGGCTTAGACATGCTATGGAAATAAAGCTGTTACTACTTTGAAGTATGGTTTTAGAGTTTTAGAATACTTTATAGAAATATCATGACAACCACAAGGAAAAAATCCTGTAATAATTACACAGAAGAACATGATAAAGAAGTCAAAGTATATTGATACTAAAGATATCTAAACACAACATAAGACAGCAAGATACAAAACAAGGAATAACAGATCTACAGAACAGCCAGACAACAATGGGATGGGAACTGTAAGTCCTTACCGATCACATCAATAATTATGGTTTACAGGAGGATGACCAACCAACTGAGCCACACAGGCCAGGGCAATAATTACCTTAAATAGATTGAATCTACAAACAAAAGACACCACTGTGTGACTGAATG